TCGAAACAACTCCATCCCTTTGTCCCAAAGCAGTAATGGTTTGTATCTTTTAGAGCTCTCTCTTACTTCCTTTCCCTCACCAAAGAACCTCATTTAGTCTCCATTTTGATCCATTTCTCCACAGAAAAAGCAAACAGTAACAAGCAAATGTGTATTAAAATGTCCCCCGTGCAGAGAACTCCTCTCAAGGCGTAAGGAAGGACTGGACTGAATAAGTGGTCCTCAGTGGAAATCCAGGTAGCGCAAAAAGGAATATAAAGGAAACATTTGCAACCAAGCTATTTTGGAGGGTCAAGGTTACCACCCAGCTGGGACACTTGGCTTTCTCGAGACATTTCCTAAGGGCATAACCCATGCTGGCATTCCACCAGTTGTGCCCTACTGCTTATCCTTTCTTCCTGGCCCACAGTGGAACAGAAACAACCAAAAAAAGAGGGGATCAGGAAACACTCACTTGGTCATGTCCTGAGCAATTCCCAAGATGCGAATGAGCCCAGGCTTCCTGCTGTCCCCTCAAATATGTTATTTTCCACTCCCACCTTTCTTCCTCCCACTTATCTCCCTCCCCCCCTTGCCTTCTGAGGCTGACTGAGTCAACTAGTGCAGATTAGATGCCAAGCAATGCAGTCTCTGTACAAAGATTCAACTCCCACAGACAGACTAGAGAGATAAAAACAGTCTGGTCAAACACTGTCCAGAGACAGCACAGGGAGAGCTGGGCTCCCAGCGGCTCTGGCTGGGTGATGTCTTGAACTGGTGACACTCCAGCAACTGAACTGCTAGCACTAGAGGCATAAGCATGCCTTTTTCTGCTGCCTATGCTTCAATACAAATGAAATGGGTGACATTTTCCGAAGTACCCACTCTCTGGAGACAAGATCGACTGATGGAAACCCTTATTCAGACATCAAAGACCTGCTGCACAGAGGTGTAATGCAACAGTCTTCCTTTTCACTCCAACCACTTCACTGGGGCCAGGCGCTCCCAGGCAGGTAATGACAAACACTATGCCAGGTACAGGAATGCTCGCATTCCCTGGCTGTTGATATAGTTGTATGCAAACACACCTTTACGCAGGGGTAGATACACAAATCCATTTCCCCTGCATTGAAGGGTATTCATTTCTACAATGCAAAATGAAGCCAATTTAACAATGAACATGCACAGTGCACAAAGCCATGGTTAGTGTTAGTGTATCTATCTGAACCCACGCAGAGAATCTGTGCAAGTTTGGAAGGTAATGTCCCACAGGAAACGTGGACAGAGCCTACCTCTGCGAAACCTGCTGTAACACCACATACTGTGGGTAGGCAGACCTGCCAATCTGCAGTCGTGCCGTTCAGTCTACCCTTGCAATGCTCTCCTAGCATTTCAAACAGTGCTGTTTCTCCCTTGAATGATACACACAACATCGTGGCATTTGTCAGGGTAAACAGCTCAGTGGCAAAGTGCCTGTCCCATCTGTGAACCTCTAAATGACCCTGAATGCAGAGGTACAGAAAAGCTTTCCACGTTCATTTGGTCTCTCTCTGGTTACATGATAAGAAATGAAGTTGACACAGCAATATAAACATTATTACTGACAACGTTAAGATAGACAGTGGGTACAGGTCAGGCCACGGTATCCAGGGGATACTCTATAACAGTAGCTGTCATATTTATCTCTGGTGTCTTCAGAGCCAGTTTTAGTAGTCAGAGACAGAGCACACAAAAGGACTATTCAGTGCAATCCATGGTCTGAAATAAAACAGATGCGTTGTGGAAGTTTGCAAACTCCCCAGCACAGAAGGTTGGCAGATCTCCGCTCCGTAACGAGGGCCCATCTTCTTGGCAGCATCAGGAGCCCTTCCGTAGCCCTGGTGCCAGTGGTACTGCTCATGCTGTTTAGACGAAGGACAGTCTGGAGGACAAAGCACTTAGCTTGGCAGTTAACAGGGATGCAGAACTAAACCTCAGCTCAGAGGCCACCCGAGCTTTTAAACACTTCCACCAATTTTGGCTGGTAAGGTTTCTTCTAATTTTTCCTCTATTCTGGCAAATTGCCGAGCAAAATTGGAAAGCTTATTGCAGCAAAACCAAAAATCTGGTAGTTTTACTCTATGTAAAATACCTGAGATGTCAGGGTGCAAAGAATGTATATAGGGGTGAGCTTTCAGAGACTGCAGCGTGGCACAAAGCAATTGTATAATCCAGTAAAAGAGGATGCAGTAAATCAGGTATAAGAACAAGGGCAGTTTCCTATCTGGAAATCATAAGGGAAGATTCAAATGCTTTAATTGGGAAATAAAAACCATCCCAGTTCAAAACAGATTTCGTACCCATTTTAAGACCAACCCAAAATGCTTTTGTTTGTAGCTGGTATTTCAGGAATGAGCACAACCAAAGGCACCTGGTCTGGTTTTTACGGACTGAAACGTTTTTGGAAAGAAATCAGATATGATTTGGACAAAAACAATGGAGGCCCAGACACAGAGGCTGCCCTGGGAGAGTATACCAGCTGTCTGCTCAGTTTCAAACCTCTAATCATATTCTTGGAGAGAAAGCAAGGGGACCTGTTAGGGGTTGCTGAGCTCTGTGCTGGGGCCAGGTCCAGACGGTGGAGCCAGCGAGCATGAGTCCTCCCATTGCAGCTCCATCGCCTTGGACTTGAAATTCTGGCACCAGGACAACAGCAAATGAGACCGAGTCTCTGAACAGACACCAAGGGCTGGGAACGAGGCGGAGGGATGGAAAACAGCAGCACGGGCAAAGATGAAATACTGGAACTCAGGAGAACAGCGGGAGGAAACTTGGCAGTGCCCAGATAGGCAAAGCACCTGCTGGCATGGGATGGAGAGGACTGCATTTAGGAGGCAATAGGTCCCACCGTGAGCCAGCATCAATCAGCCCTGCTTCTCACTGGCAGCCTGGCTGTGCTCAGACACAACAGTTTCACGGCCCTGCTCCAGCACTGATGGCTTGATCCCACAAGCAGAGGCAGTGCACCGCCTGTATTAATGCGATGGGCAGAGGAATCCGGGCTAGTGGTGGTAATGAGAGTGCTGCCTCAAAGGGAAATACATCCTTGGAAAGAAACATAAAACTACTGCCATGCACTTTCCTTCAACTCTAAACCCTCACCAGTGCTTGCAAACTACCCAGCAGCATTCAACAGCCAGCGCACTGCAATCCCTCTCCCCTACAAATCAATTCTGAGAACCCGCTATTCTCCTTTTCAATGTACTTGGGCTTTGTGTTGTCTCACTGTGATGAGCGGACACCACATCTTGGCTTGCATTCATGCCAACCAAGTGCAGGCAATTCATTGAGATGCCTGGTTAATGGCACAGTCTTCTTGGGCTCCACAGAAGATGAGCAGCATCTCCAAAGGTGACGCAGTCCATCCCATGGACTCTGAGAGCTTTTTGCAACTAACTTAGGTATTGGTGTTAAACACCAAAAAGTAGGTGGCATGAATTAATCCAGGCTTGTGCACGTGTGGCTCTGATCTCTATACAGGGCTTCTTGTTGCTGTCATTAAGTAGTAAAATGCCAAACATGGCTCATACCAATTCCACCTCTCACTAATATGTTTTGTCAGCTCATCATAATCTTAAAAGAAACCTTTAAGTGCTGGGAGGCATCCTGGTTTCTAATTAGGCTCAGTCACATTTTGTGGCCTCATGTGCCTATTTAGTCAAGTTAACCTGGCTCATGCTGTTGCTAGCTTCAAACGTATGTACTTGAGATTAGTTTTTCCACTCAGAAAAAGATAAGGTCTACAGTTTCCTCCCCTCAGATAAGCTTAAGAAGAAAAGAAAATGAAGTAATGCCCCTGCCACCCAATATACATGCAGTTCTGTATCCCATCTCCACAACAGCTCCCAAACCAGGACACTCCATACAGAGATATGGCATCATTCTCTGCAGCATGTTTCAAAGCCTGCACAGCAGTGCCCTGAACCCATCCCCTTTCTGCTATGCTCTCAGCTCTTGACATGATCAGCAAGAGAGATGGACTCTCTCATAGCAATATTCAATCTGCCTGAAGCTTGAGCTGCCTTCTGCACCCATTTATTCCTCTCCACTCACCCTAAGGTATGCGGAGAAGCCAGGACTGTGTCCCAGGCAGCCTAGCCACATGCTCAGTGTTAGATAGAACCAGTCTTCAACTGGTTTGGGGTCTGTACAGTAATACAGGATGTTCAAGGAGTTTGCACATACAAGAGATGAGAATGGCTCTAGTGCACTTGCACTATAAAACACTACACACCTAAAGAGTTTTCAGTCTTAGTGCCACAAATATGAAGTGTTAATGGCTTACACTGGCTTCTCAGCAGCTGAGTATACATAAAACCATGTTGAAGGAATGACCAAAGCACCAGGAAGCCACCAAAAACTGAGTCCTAGTTACAGGAACTGTAAAGAACTTAAACTTCTAATGAGGAGATTCAAATCCTGACTGCCAGATTAGGGAATAACTTCTGAATTCATCCAAGACACAGGTTTGAACCAGCCCTACCTGACCCTATCTGAAACTCTTCCAAAGAAATCAAATTGCATTCAATTTCCTAGGAACTGCCCCAGTCTTAGGTACACATTACTGGCATCCAAAGGCAGAAATCAAAGAACTGGGTACTTCAAGGGGTGAAGCAGAGAGCAAAAGAATTAAAGTCATCACAAAAGAGTTTGATAAGCTGTTGTTCACTGCCACTGTTATTATCTGTACTTTCAGAGATGTCACAGTGTGCTCAGCACAAGAAGCATTCACAGATTTTTCCTACCTGGTCAGGTTGAGGCAAAAACCCAAAGGTCATCCAAAAAGGCAGAGAAGTCAAAGCTGACTCCGTCTGCCTCACCACAAAGCACTTTTGGAAACTCCTTTTCATCAACCATTTGCATACTATAAAACATTCCATCTAGCACCATTTTTATCACCATTAAATCCATATGCAGGGGCTAAGTTATCATGGATGCTACTCACAGAACTCTGACAGTGACTCGAGGGAAAAGGGACTGACCTGTCGTGGTGGTGACATGTGTACTGCACAGCACTTGTGCTCCCTTTGAATACAATGTGAAACTTGCTTCAGTAATCCTTCCTTTGTGGTGGCATTCCCTTCTCCTCCAGCTGCCAAAAGGAGATCTGAAATGAACATAATTAACATCCATCAGTTATGGCTTTTTCTTTCCCTTCCTGCTAAGCATCCAAAACCATATCTTGGATAAACAAACAAAACAAAACACTTGGCCTGAACCAAATCCTAGCTCCAAACAAATCTGGAGGAGAAAACGGTGGTTGGGATCTGTCATGTTAAATCAAGTGAAGTAAATTTACCTCAGATGTGTCCATTACTATGATATGTGGACCCCAAACCATTTTGGTGGGTTGGGTAACGTCTTTTGGCATCTTTCAGGATGCAGTTCAAGAGTATATCTGCATTCCAGTTGTGTCTGAGAGCTATTCCAGAGCCAGAAACCTGAGCAGCACAGAGGAAGATGCAGTCAGGTTGGTTTTAGATTAGCAGTCTAGCAATCAGGATCAGAGCATCTCTGTGACCTTGTGCTGTGGCTAACTGAAGTCAGGACTAACTTTGGGATCCCTTTCTCCCCATGGATGTGCCCTTAGGCCTGGACACATCTAACTTCAGGGACCTGCCTGAGGTAGTTCAGGTGAGGGACATCCCCAAGACATTCAGGTAATCAGCATTGAGATTAGTACCTTTGGAGATTTCCATCTCTCACCATCAGTTACAACGTTTTGGGGCAATTCAAGCCAGCCAGTGCCTCAGACCTAGCTCTTCCTTTGTGCTTGGTTATCCTGGCTGCTGTCTGGCTCACACCCAAAAATGCAGCACCTTGGGAAGCCTGCATGACAACCCAGTCTTTCCAAACAGCACTGTCTGTAAAGCTGTAAGGACACACGTATATCTTCAGTCCCCACATGGCACATCTTTCCTTCCCACTGACTTCCCATCACTGCTCTAACTTCTAGGAAACACAAGGGATTTGCTCTGGCATGCGGGACTTAAGGGCAAGACATATTGCTAAAATCAAAGAGGGTGAGAGGCTGCAGGGCTCTGAATGGGTTGCCTTGTCTTTGCAGTTTCCACTGAGCTTGAATTTTGCCTAAAAGGGATTAATTAACACTGGACAACCCCACAGTGATTCCTCATCAGCTCTGGAACAGAGGAGCCCGTCACTATGGTGATACAACATTAAAGGGCTGGGTCCAAAACGTTATTCTGGCAGGAAGATGCATGCACCAGGCCAGAATCTGAGATCCCGGGTGAGCTGGTTGTAACTCTGGTGAGATACTCCAGGCTTACCCTGGTGTCACTGAGATCAGCCCTGGCCTGCAGCCTTTGAGGAGAGCTCCATCCTGTCGTGCAGATGGTTCGCCTTCTAATTTGGAGGGGCTGAATGACTTTGCAAACCTTTGATTCCTGACTGATGTATTCACTTCAGGAGACACAAAAGTACAAAATCTCAGCATGGAGTGACTCCCATGCTTTCTTTTGCTTTCCTTCCAACCCCCTCACCCCCACCCCTTGTCTTTTGCTTTTCTTCTCTCCATGGACAGTTGTATAATTTTGGCCTGTGGCCAGAATGTCTGTCCTTATTAGCCTGGGCTGGCTGGGAGACACCTGCAGCCCATTAGAGCAGGGGGATGAAAAACCATCACTTGTCATAGGTAAAGTAATGACCACTTCGCTCTTTGTTTTAACACACAAGAGGGACAATCGAGAAGGGAAGCAAAAGAAATTACATAGCTTCACCATCACACCTGCCATTGACTGGACTCAACTGTGGGCACTGGGTTGTATATTTCTGTGGTAAGTAACTCTAGTGAATTGTTGTCACTTCACACCAGCAAGGATTTCAGTTCCTTGCATGTGACATGCACTTGCTGCATTTGAATAGTATCTCGTGCACCTTCTTTTAATTTACGTCTTTATTATGAACTAACTAGGCTCTAGAAAGAAATCTCCCTCTGGGCAAGTTATAACTAGACTGCCTACTGGCATATCCCTCCAATATCCCAGCTGGTACTGGCGGCAAACACTGCCAAATCCAGCAGAGCCTCCATAATGGCAAGGCAAAAGGGCTACAGGATGGGACACTGACACTGCCTCCACTAGAAGGGCTGCGCATCCAGAAGACTGACTAGAGTATAAGCAGTGATGCAGGAGTGGCACTCAGGCTATTGCTGGGCCTCGTGGCTTTATACAATATAATAAACACAAACATTTCCATGATGCATCTAACACAGCAATGCTGGTGAGACAGTGAGAGGCAATATTTGCTCGCTCAGCTCCCAGCCTACAGAAGTCCATCTTACCTCAATGACCAGCTAATTGTGCGTTTGCAGGGCTATCCATCTGGAGATGAGCCCTTCTTACGATTACAAAAATCCTGCTTCAAAAGATGTATTTGTACACAAGGATGGCTGTTACTCAGAAGAGGTGCTGCGTGCCTGCTAGGATGTCGACAGTAAAGAGATCAAAACGTTCTTCAGACACCTTGCTGTGGAGTAGTGCCACAACCAAAACATACCTGGACTGAAGGAAAGGCCACAATCAGACCTCCTGATGTAGATGTCTCAACTGGAGGTGCATGCATGTTGTAGGGGATAGCAGGGAGAGTGGATGTGGGAGGACAGCTAGAGGTCTAAATAATTGATCGTGCTTTTGAACTATGACTACAAAGTAGGCAGCTTAAACACAGCTGCAAGAGTTTTGCTACTGAAAGCGGGCTCGCTCTCTAAGGACTAGATGGTATTTCAATCCCAACAGCCCATTCAGTGAAAATGCCACAGTCAGGATGTCACGAAACCCAGAGCTCCTTCCAAAACTTTGCTGGGTTTTAATCAAACCTACTTGTCTAGCTGCAAGGCAGTGGAGACATTTACCCCAGCAGCTGAAGTTTTCAGTTCTGCATCAAGTGGAGTGCAGCCACTTATAACGAGACAAGGAAAAAAGAAGAAAAGAAAAACTTGTGACCACAAGGGACCCTGCCAAATATTCCCACTGCTGTCCCGGAGCATGGAAAAGCGACTCTGCTATTGCACACAGGTCTGACTATTTGCATTTTTAATAATTCAAGAGTTTAATTAGTATCATGGCCTTAATCAGAGGCTGAAAATACAGCTGAAGTCATCAGAGCTTAATTAGTTTTCATAAAGAATTCTGCAGTCTGAAAACGTCTCTACTAACAGGAAGGTTTCTCCTTAGCTTGATGCTTTGGGGTTCAGAGGAGGTTCTACCTGTTGCTTCTGTACCAGCGCACCTCAAAATCACCAGACAATATTGAGTCAAACCCCTGTCTATCCCTACAGCTTTATTGTACTGGACCCAAAATAATTGACCGGACTGAACAGAGCATCTTAATGTGGGTCTATCCCACAAGCTGCATGGGAATTTCCCCTCTGAAGGAAATACAACATTCTTAGAACATCAACAGTTATCACTGGATCTTCAGTCAAGTCAGCAGGGATGCGGTGCTGAGGGAAATAACTATGCATGGTCAGAAGAATCACCATTTAATACTGGGACTGCAGAAGCTGCTCTGTGGGAGCAAACACTGGTCCCTTGCAGCTCAAGACGGGTGGTGAAACACAGGAAGTTTGGTGCTGCTTCCCTTCTCGAGTGTAAGGGATGGATGTAGTCTCAGGGGGAATTATCACCTATTTTGGCTGAGGGAATCTCAAACCCTGGCAACAGCCATCTATTTACTCACTGGAGAGATTAACAGAATTGTACAGGACATCCTGGATGAACTCTTTCAAACAATATGTGATTTAATGGTGGGATTCATCATCACCCAATGCTGTGGAGGCCAAACATTATAAACAGGTTCAAAAATGGATTAGCAAAATTCATGGAAGATAGGTCAATCACAGACAATTAAATATGGTAATCCGGATACAACTTCCACTTCAGGAAGTTAGTTGGTCTAATGCCCTTCCACCTCTGATTTACTTGTTAAAAGGAAGCCAGAATAATTCTCCCTATGCCAAAACTGTCCCTTGGCTCCAAGCATTAGCTAGAATCACAATAAATTCTTCTTTTTGGCAGGGGGAGGGAGATGCATTTTCTTTCAGTAATGATATTACAGCATGTTATTCATTTCCCTCTGCAGCTCCTGAACCTCTGTGTAACCTCCCATCTCCCTGTCCCCTCAGGAATAAATTAGTGGAACCTACTGGAAGGTGATAGCAATCACAAATACCACTAAACTCCATTTAGTGAGGAATTAGGAATCCAATCACTTATGTACATAGGAAAGGTCTGGCTGGACCATCCTGAAGAAACACTGTCATTGGGAGTACTGGAGCAGGGGAAGGTGCTGGAAACTCAAGATGGAAAAACAGAAGTTGGTTTGTCCACGAGGAAAGTTTGTGGTAACCCCACGACATTTACTGTTGGATTTATTTCCTGACACATGTCTCTGTAGAGGCTAGTTTTATTTATATAAAATAGATACACATATAGTACATTTCATACTGCAGTGTTATGCATCCCCATCCCCTTTGAATCCTGCTGAACTCTTGCAAACTCGTGACCCAAAGAGCAGCTTATGGCATGCGTTATCTGCTCTGTGCTCCCTTTTCTTACCTGCTGCAAGCATTTCTGCCCATTGTCTGGTTTTGAAGGTGTTTAGGGGGTTTGCTGTTGAGCAGAGGACAAGATGACAAATGAGCTAACACACAGCAATGGAATGTAAGTGAGTCTCAGCTATTTTTAATTAAGAAGCGATGACAGCTGACTAAATTCCCTGACACCGCAGTTAAAGGCTCCCTGACCCAGACATTATTGGACACACTCCTAAGACCAATATATATTGGTCCCGACGGTGCTTCTATTATTGTCCCCGCCGTCTCGACAGATGCAGGACTAACAAAATCTATGTCTATTATCAGCATGCAAATAGCGAGATAAACGTGTGCATGCTTATGAGCAGGAGGAGGCAGCAGGTGAGAGGAGGACAATGAAGGGCATTTTCAAGGAAGTGTTGAAAGTGCCAGTGTTTGGCTCCAATAAATGTTCAAAAGGTTTGGATGAATTTAACTGTCATTTTCATTTTTGGTTGGTTAAACCAACGAGAGATTGACCATGAGAGAGGCGGAGAGACAGAAAGAACATTTCCTGCTGTAAGGCAGATGAAAGATAAGAGGCAAAGCAGTATGGTGCCTTGGACTGCCTTTTCTCAGCCCACAGATCACAGGGAGGGCTTAACTGAGGAATCTTTTCTTCTAATTCCCAAACCAGCAACATGACAAAGTGATCTGGATTTTGAAGGATAGGGATTCACCCAGCTTCATATAAGGACTCTTTAGCAGAGATGAAAATACAATCAAGGTGTCCAGCTCCCACTGTCTCAACAGACTGGCAAGAAACTGACTGTTTCAACACGAGACTGTCTTGGAAAGATGTCAAGAGGAAGATACCAAACACAAAAAGACAGTATAAAACTCACTTTTGTTCTCAGGGCTTGCACAGCAATGAATCCAGCAGCAGAGCCCTTTACCTTGAGCTCACTAGTTGGTTTTAGATGGACGGACAAAGGAAAGATTCCCTTTCAAAGGACCATGGAGAAAAGGGTGAGCTGGCACACGCGGCAAAGCCACATACATCACGTACAGACTTGGCATGAGCGAGACAAATACATTAAGGAACATCACCAGGAACTTTCCAGCATGGCTGCAGGGTGGGAGGGGGAAAGAGTTGCTTTCTGCTGTTGCTAAGACAGTTCCCCCACCCTTGCTCTCTCCCAGCCCAATCCACGGGCTTTCTCCTCCCATTGGCTCACCAGCTGCATCGAATGATCATGACAGGTTTTCCTCCTCCCCGCACTATTGGCTTCTGCCTATGGCCTATTATCAGGGGAGAGCAAATCAGACACGTAATCAATAGTTTGTGAGAAGGAACAGGCTGCGCAATGCTACATTTGCATTAAATCTCTTGCTGCCTATGTCTCTGCATTCAGATAAGCAGGGATTAGCCGCCCTGGCCACACTTGCAGAGGTGAGCATAGATGGCAGACAGATAGCAAAGCAGCACTGCAGTGAGCTCTAGGCAAAAGGCAGACGCTGCACGTTCTACTCCTTAACTTCAGACCAGTCTCTACCTGATGAGAAGCTCAGACCCTGACCTCGCAGGCAAACCAGCATGACTCAAGGACCATCGGTGTCCTGCGTGAGCACTGATCTAGATGCACAGAGCAAGCTTCCCTTCTGGTAGCCTGTCTGAACCAGTGTCCCCAGCTCAGGTAATCATTAGGGCATAAAGAAAAGCTATATAGCAGGGGAAGAATCTTCTTTCCTGCAGTACCTGAACTGATGCCCTCTCCCAGCAAGCTTTAAGAACCTTGTTTGGTCTGAGGGCCTTCTAGGGCAGGCAACGAGCATGGAAACACTCCACAAGGCCAGAGAAAGTTTCCCTGGCTTGAACCAGGATGGCTGATGCCATTCAGCTACCATAACAGTGCTGCTTGGTCACTGCCAGCCTTCAGGCATTCAGGAATAGTGGTTCATTTGTCTTGTGCATCCCTGAGAGCCTGGCTCTTCCCACCCCACCAAAACCCCTTTGTTGGGCAGTGAAATAGAGCAGCAGTGGCATGGCTCCCAGGCGCTACCGCAGACCAGGTCAAGACCTGGAGCCAGACGAAGCAGAGGCAGATGAGTTGGAATGTGTTTCCAGCTACGAGCAAAATGGGCTTGTGTTGACACCATGCACCAGTGAAACACCAATGCAAAACAACTAGCTGTTGCCAATAGCTTCAAAACAAACTGGGAAATAGAACTCACTTATCAGTGGTGGGGACCTCAGACACCAAGGCACCAAGCGCATGACCAAGTGTGAGTAACTACTGAACTGGCCTCAGGCCTTAAAGCTTTGCAGTTCAACTTGCCCAAGTAAAGCAGCTGATGAAATAACCCCAGGCACTTGGGACACTGGTGAAATAGCAACCCTTTGGCTATTTTCTTTCACCACACAGGTGAGTCAGCATCCGGACTACGGAAGAAAAACTGGTGTTTCCTTTTCTGTTCAGGACTGCAAGTGACTGGCAGCAGAAGGAACTCAGTCCAGTTTCTAGCCTGTTCCTAATAGACATGTATCCAGACTACAAGAGGTCAGTGAACCCAGCAAAGCCATCCACTGTGGTTGGATGCGCATACATGGATGTTTGCTCTCCCTAAATACTAGATCTTCCTAGCCTGGACGGTCCCCTTGCTCGCTGTCTTTTACGTTATACAGAGGTTCAGTTAGGAAGAGTTTGAACTTGAACTGTTGTAAAATAATACAATTCTGAGGCAAAACATAGGGAATTTTTTAAATGGAAATTTCCACAGCCGAATCTATTTGTTTATATCAGGAATGGGGGTGGTTGGACACAAAACACTGGGTCACTTGAAAAAAAATCCTAAGTGTCCGACCTGGATAAATCCAGTTTTATGAAATCCACGGGGACAGTTTCTTCAGTATAAGCTGGAACTTCAAATTAAAAGGAGGAAAGAGAAAAAAAGAGCACGCATAAAAATCAGGTTCAAATCCCTGCTTGGCCTCACTCAGTGAGGACTCCGAATTAGGTCTACGGTTACTTAAACAGCTTCAAATATTTTGGGATCTCTCTCCAGTTCATATGATCTAAGTTTCATCCTGAGGCAGAACAGGAAGAATGTTTTGAGCTCTCAAAAATGTCCATGACTTCGGACAAATACATTAGACCCAGCTTCCAAATAAATCTGTTCTCTTTTTGATCTTACGTAATGGTCTGGATGTCTGTGTTTTGATTCCTCCCAATTGTGCGCTCAAAGTGGTACAGAGCTCCATGAAAGAAAATTAATGGACTGGAAGGAAACCTACACTTCTTTTCTATCTCTAAACCGGGTGCTTCTTTTCTAGTTACCTTTATGGAGAAGCAAAGCATGAAATTTAGCACCAACCAAGATGATGAAAATGAACTCAAGTAAGAACTCCTGTCATGAGTTAAGCCTGCTTCAGCCACTCAAGAAAACAGAGCCTATGAACAAAGGCTTTTTTAATCAATAAAAGCTTTTTAAATAAAATGAAAGCTCTTTCAGACGAATTCAAGAAGCAACCCACAATGGAAAAGATTCAGTCCCTGATGGCCTAGGATCTTACCTGTTTTCTCCTTACTCTTAGTGCCTACACGAAAACATTTCTCTGGGCCTATTAGATTTGCTGGAGATGGAAAAATAATTAGATTCTTACCATGAACATGTAGGAAATATCCAACGGAAAGGCAGAGCTGGTATGTAATAACTTGTGCTGCTATGACTAGCACAGTGCTCGACTGCTCGCTTCACCACCTGGGGAGGAAGGTGTACTGGCAATATGCTCAGTCCTGAATGACCACGTTGTACCTATCCTTGGCAGGAGAGGCAAACAGCGTGTGCACTTCATCACCTCCAACACTCAGCAGGCACAACCTGGAAAAAGAGGAAGAAGAAATACATGGATGTAAGGAATAATATAATTGATGACCTGACAGGAAAGCCCAAACCCAAGCAGAGGAAAAACTGTGTCCATGGCTCTATTTCCCCATCCTGATTCTGCTTATCATGAGGTAACTGCTTCTGGTCAAGGGCTTAGGCCTCAGGGCTGCCATTCACCACCTGCCTGGCATAGCTGATGAAGAATAAGGAGCCAAGAAACCTGAGAGCTATTTCTGAGCCCACAGCCTGTGTTCCCAGATTTCCAGTTTGAAAGATTTTCATTATTCCTAATGTGTTTCTTTTTAGATTTGTCTTGCCTTAAAAACTATAGAAATATCAATTGTCTGCTTGGTTTTTGTGACAGAGATGAAGCTAGTTTCCATATGCATTTCACATTGTTTCATAAGAAAAAAACCCAATGATATAGCCATCTTTACTTAGCATATTGTGTAACTGTCCACGAAAGGGTTAGATTTCTGCCTGTCTGCTTCTGGTTTGTTTCCCAGTTCCACTTCACTAATATAACTTCTCAAGAAGTTCATATCATTAATAAAGCCAAGCCACAGGAACACTTCTCATAGCTGCTCTATGTCTCTGATGCCAAAGGCTAGTAAAAGGTCTCGAAACTTCAATTTCATCTTTAAATAGCTCTGTGCAAGGTAACTCAATGTTACTAGTCCCATTTTGCTATTAAATAGAGGCACAGAAGAGTGCTAAGAATTGTCCCAGGCCATAAAGTAAGTAGAAAAGGACAACCAAACCCTTTGTTCTTGATCCATAGCCTCTTGCTCTGTCCCAATGGGCAGCATTCTTTCCTATGATTACAAAAAATATTGGGGTCTTCTGTGAAATGGACTGGGATACTAATTTTTGAGCTGAAATGACCAACCCAGCATGGGAAACCATATAAGTGAATATAATACTCTCAACTTCCTGAACTCTCGTACAATAAACAGCTTAACAACTTGTTTCCCACAGAGACACCTGTATTTTAGTAGCAGACAAGAAATGACACACGTATATATATGCAGCCATATGTTCCTTTTTTTCTAGCTATACAGACATATCTATCCATATATGCACAAACATAAGACACATGCATCTATATGTATAGATCAAAGTTATTAAAATTAGAAGGATCTTTGATGTGGGACTTGCCCTGGTCTGGAGAAATGCTAATTGCACCCCAGCACAGCTGTGGGAATGAACTGCCTGCTCTGCACAGCACTGGAGGCACATAAAATGCAAAGACCTCTGTGGAGGAGAGCACAGAGCCAAGACGTTTCCCACCCATCGCACCTATCACCTGCTCACAAAAATGAACTTCCCATGTCTCCACTGGTTAAACCTTGACCCCCGTCCCTGAGCATGAGCCACCCCACAATACTCAGTATCACCACAGAACCTGCCCACCCAACAATTACCCTTTATGTAATTGAAGTGCGGGCATATCTACGCAAGCCGGGATGAGATGGCTGGATGCCTTTGGTACTAACGCCAGTGCTCTTATGAGTGCTGACTCTTAAAGCAAAACAAGTGAAAGAAAATGAGTAAACTAACAAGTTTCTGGACTCATTTGTTCAGAGTGACAGATCCACAAACACATTCCTTTTTTTCAAGCAGCTTTTTATAACCCATAACCCAAAATAAGCCCTGACCCGGCTGCGGTGCCATGTTAAACAGTAATTACTCTATATAAGGCTGACCAAATGGGAATATTTGTGGGCCAGTGGAATGAAATTATTTTAGGACTTACACAAACTTTTGCTGGGAGTGGTGAGACTGGCTGTGGGTAATGTGGCGTACCTAGGGAACAAGTGGACACAGGAGGGGTTTTTTTCTTCCTCTTCCAAGCCTCCATTAAAACTCACTAGGTGACATTAAATGGCTTGCCCGAATTTCTGCTCAAAGGAGACAAAATAAAGAAGTAGAAGTGAGATTTGTTTGTCCCTCTGTAAAAGAGGCTTCGCTATATCACTGTGCACATTTTGAGGTTCTCCCTCAATGTGGCTAACCGTCTCGCCTGCTAAACTCTACCCAAATATATGGCAGAGCAGAAGTAGGCAGAGGTGCAAATCAAGACCCTTGTAGTATTACATGATACCTACCATTGAGATTGCTTTACCACAAGCTGCTGTGCAACATCAGCCACTGAAAGGCCCGTCATCAAGCATGTTCCTGGCTAGGACTGCCACAAATACCTCTATTCCAGGCCAGCCCACATGCTACACGCATGGTTTCTTGCCACCTTGCTGCCACAAAGCCAAACTTATCATGGAGACCACCCTCATGGAAAGTTGGACCTTTTTGCTTGACCTTTACTTGCAATGATGCTAAACTACATCAGTACACACTGCAAAGTCATTTTTCATCCTGTCTACCCTAAGGATGCACTTGCAAGCCTGATCTTTTGGGCTATTCACTTCCTCATTTCAAAGAGCCTGATTTTGAAGCAAGTGGGGCAGCACAGCCTACAGAGAAAGGGACTGTAACCCGGGGCATGTCCTGCCTTGTAGGAGGGCGAGGATCTCTGTGGGGAATCCTAGAAGAAGAGGCTGACAGAGCTCTCAGAGTGGCAATGCTCAGTTCAAAAAACCTGCAAAAATTAGTGGCATGCCATTCTGGTGCAAGTGGCCGTTTTCCAGCTTCCAAAATATCCCTTCTCCTTATGTCACGGTAAAACAGAGCAGAAATGGAAAGTGGTTTAGCAAGCAGGAACATTGGAATTCAAAATAGAATAAGAGAGGATGAAAGCAAATACCCAGACTGTTCTAACCTGTGTTTACAGCCCAAATACTGTACCAATTCCTGTTATTTTCAGGGGTTTCTTCCTGTGTTGTAACATTCTCTCTGGGCTTAAACTTGGCCCATGCAACATCTGACTCATTTGACTAAGCTCCTGGGCATGTGTTACAGGTTTTGCAGATGCTTATCACTAACAACCCCTTCTTCAGCCCCCGAGCCCAATGCAGCACATTACACATGGCTTTTTGCTGGAAGGGTAGGAAGAAAATGACAGCATCTGTCTAACATGAAATTTTCATCCTTAATTAAGGACTTCATAAATAAGTCCATTTTCTGAGCAGGATGGTGGGTGGAAAAATAAAGTAAAGATACTTTTTAATGATCTCGATGAAACTCAAGTCCATTTGCTCATTAATATGCATCTTTGCACCCAGGAACTTCAAGTTAAAAACTCGTTGCTATGGAATTCATGTTATCTGCAGCACTGAGCGCTGACAACGGCCGAACTAATCCTGGGTAGGACTCCTCTGCCTTCACTGATGTAAAACAGATTCACTGTTTTCAGGTTTGCTTTTCATTCTACCTGACTTCCTGCATTCCAGAAGATAACTGCTTTTTATGTCTGTCTCTGATTAGTTCTTTGAATTACCTCCATGCTACATGATAATTCAACACTAAGTCCACCCCGCCGGTCTTCATTCTCCTTCAGTGCCCCACACAGTGGCTGTACCATACTGATACTCATTTAGAAACACAGGAATGCCTTTAAAGTTACGGTGTTAAATGCACAGGTGAGATCAATTTTAGCTGCAACAGATCAAAAGATGTAGCAGGAGGTAACCCAAAGAATAAAAAATCACAGAATAGAAAGAGAGAAAGGAGAAATAAGATAACCATGCAAATGCAATGGGCTTGTATAATACAGTGTAGCCTTATCGTACTTTGGTACAAATATTGTACAAATATAGCAACAGTTTATAAAGCTTCTGAGCTCTTAATTATCAGTTCAATTCACAATTCTTAAGGTCCTTCTAACAGAAAGGAGCAAAAAGCTAATTGCTTCCGTTGATGCTGAACATCTCACCTATAAACAGCTCCTCCTTAGGCTGTTTCTGCTGTGTGGCTGACAGAAGGGACTTCACCAGTGTTGGTAGATCCTGAAAGAGAAGGAAATTCACACTCAGTAGTGTGTGGAATTAGATGTGATGTCCGCATTTTACTGAGGCATTGCTTGCTGGATAGCCCAGCTCTATTCACATGCTGAAAACCTGATACATGCCTAAATAGAAAGTCAGCCTAGGCCTGGAGAACTGAGGTATTTCAGCACATTGGTAAGTGCATGAGAGCCCAGCTGATAGCAGTGGACATGCTTGTCAGTACAACTTGATCAAGAGCCAGCGTCTCTCAACTGAGATCAGGGTGGGCTGCGTTACTTCTCCAGTGTTTGTCTGCTGAAATCAGCAGAGGGACAGGTAGGCACCTCAAGGTTCTTGTTGACCTTTAGGCATATGCCTTACCTGTAGAGAAGCAGAGCTTCCTAACACAGAAGCTGCGAGCCTTAGCAAGAGGCTCTGCTGACTGTGAGAGGAGCCAGGCTCCTACAAGTCCCAATCCACTCTCTCAATGCTCCACTGGCTAAGGACAGCTCCACAGTCATATTTCTACTTCCACTGGCTAAGACTGGCCTCACCTAAATATCATATCCTTAGCCTCTCCTTCAGATACAACCTTCCTTTAAGCACAACCAAGGTAAGCATGACAGGAATTACAAGGTAATTAAAGAGAACTATGGAAAACAAATACACATACCCTTTATTTGACTGGGCTGCTTTAAGTCGCAGCGCTGTGATTTATTCCTTCTCTCTCAATCTGTCACCAACATGCGGCTACATGGGAGAAAACAAATTGAAATTAAACTCAAACGTTATGTCTAGTTTATTACTAACAACTTTTAAACAGTGCTGACCCCTTACGTAGACACTTTTGTGCTATAACCCCAAACTACAGGGCCGATAAACCCACCATAACCGATAGCAGTTACAGACCTGGGCTATATTCTGAATTAAAATACAACAAACAGTTAACAAAAATAGAAGAAAAAAAAAACAAATAAACAGTTGTGGAAAAATTACTTAACTTCCCAAGCCCAAAATGGTCATTGCAGCCTAAATGCATGTGTGTGACAGACAGCTGCTCCTGCAGTACAAGTAACACACCACCTTTGTACAAATACTGTATTACACAAGTAGCCATCAGTTAATTTCTACAATCTCTGTGTCAGGTAGGATCATTAACACTGCCCCTAATTTTAATGATAAGAAGGTTGAGACAGAAAGGTGGAGAGGATTGTCTAAAGTGAATAAGTAACAATGAGAACTTCAAAGCATCCTCCCATCTCTGAGCCCATTAAACAACAACAACCCCATAGGGTTGTTTTGCATTAAAATCAATATAAAACCTGTGGCACAGGTTGACAAAATGACAACTGGAGTTTGAAGACTTAAGAAAGCAAACAAACAAGGGACGTCAGCTTGCAGACTAGGTTTATAGCTAATGAAGCATTAATGTTACACTAAAAATGTGGCTTAGCTTAAGTATCCATTTTTAACTATCAACTAAAGTGAAAACATTAATTCACACAAATCAATGTTCCCTAAACAATAATTTTCCCCCAGAACGTTTCTTCTTTTTCAACTCTTATCTAACATAACCCATTTAAAGTATTAGATCTGCAGAGTTCAGCAATTAGCTCTGGAAATTGTTTTCCTTGAGTGTATGGAAGGTTACATTACACAGTGAAATATAAAGTGTACGCTACAGTGAATGAAAACCTCTCTTTGAACGATGATTACCTTTCAAAAAGGCTGGGATAAGGGCCAGATTACCAAAACAAATTCAAGCCAGCTATTAGAGTTCTACTTGTACATCCAAAGTCCCCTGTTATTTCATGCAAGTATCCGCTTTCAGTGCATCTTTGGGGGTTTTCAAATGTAATTGTTTATGTGTAATACCCACAGACTGTGTTTTCCTGAAAACATGGCAGGAAAAATCCAATCTGAGGAATAAACAAGCAAGCAAATAGGGAAATGGGTGCAAAGAAAAGCACACAAAGAAGGAAGGGACAAAACATAAACCAGCCAAATGAAGGCAGGGGATGGCACTGAGGGTACTTCAGATGTTATTGATGGTGCGGACAGAGAGGATACACTTCATCTGTCCACTAATCCAGAGCAAATCCCTGAGAGTCACAGAGATATGTGGAAGAGCAGGGTTTCACGTGGAGGTTGTAAAAGACTGTTGGAAGTCACCTCAGGCATCCTTCTACTCAAAACAAGGCAAACCTCAAAACTGAATCTATTGACAGAAGATTTTTCTTCAAGCTGCTTCAGTCAGCTCTTCCTCTCAATGAGGTGGTTCATAGGAGATGCCCACCATGACACCCTCTTTGTGGGCCTCCACACAACTCCTCATCCAGAAGCTCCTCAACACCCACTGCTACTCCTCTGCACAAAATACAGCCCTTGTTTTCCATGTATGTCATAGTCAAAGAGCCGTGTCCATCTATCCATTGCAACACTGCAGTTAAGGGAACTGTTCCACCATGCCTGCCATTCCAGCAAACCTTGATTCAAGCCCTTAGTGCCATGGTACTAATTAAATAAAAGTACTGCTACATACACTAGGTGAATCAAAGCACACAGACACTCAGAGGGCAAATTGCTCAGCATCAAGTGTCAGCTCTGAAGACAATATAGGAACCCAAACTCCTCATCTTACATGTTACCTTTAGCCTAAACAGCCTTTGATGATGCCCTAGAGGGCCAAATGAGAAGAATAAGTGCATAAAAATGCACTACTTTCAGTGCAGCTATGCTAACTTACATCAGTTGATGATGTGACCTATATAATGAAAACTAGCTTGAAGCAGCTAAGGAATATAACCTTGATTTATTCCAAATACGTTATATTTAACGCTGTCACTTATCTTTTACATGCCAACATACAAGCTCAGGAGACAGACACATTTCGATACTCTCAGCTGGGAATCGTATTCTTGCAACACTCCTAGATGATGCACATACTGTCTCTATTTGTGTTCACCCTTTCAGATGGCATGGTGCCCACGAAACAAGCTGATTAGCACTTGCCCTGGGCTATCAAGGCAAGGCAATGGTATGTTTAGATCAGCAAACTGCATAACAATATAAATGTCATCTATTCTACAAGGAGCTTTGGCAGTATTTGCATCTTGTGCTTCGTTGCACGTATATGCCAAAAAGAAACTCAAAAGACTTGAAGAAGAAAGACAGGCATGGGATTCGCCAGCCCTCCCGGTTGCCAAAACATGCTGTATAGCAGTGGGTGCCTCGTTACAATCCCCAGGGAGTATCTACCGGGTGTCAGATTGTATGTAACATGAACACTACTGGTACATATATACATATATATACAGCCTTTTTTGCTCAGCCAGGCTCATAAGCAGAAAAGGAACCACAAACAGCGTGTCTGGCACAGTTCAAGACATGATCTGTATGCTTGCCCAGAAAGGGTGGCATCCAGCCTAAACAGAATAGCTCTGGGTGGTCAGTAGCTGGTTGTGCAACATCTTTGCTGACGGGGCAAGCTGTAGCAATACCTAGCAGATACAATGGATAATGGGCTAAGGACAGTGAGTTTAGGACACTAGCTGGAGTGCATGCCAGGCCTCTGATGGCCTGGCACTCATTAGCATTTGATTGTTGCTGGAGACCTATATGACATGAAATGATGGTCTCACTCCAATTCCTGGTGAGCAAATGTCAGCACCATTATCACAGTAAGCATCTATCTTAGTGGTCTTCCCAAAGAAGCCAAGGACTGAATGGGAAGAAAGGCTGATCTATGTCTCATTGTCAGTGGAGGGGACTTCCCAGGACAGAGCTGGGGCGAACTAGCAGGGTTCAGAATTGTTGCCTGTACAAGCCCCACTTAATACTTCAGCAGATGGGACAGGATGCAGAAAGAGGAGATGTAGGAAAGATGCACCAAAAGAGAGAGACTGCTGTCAAAGGTAGGAAAGACAACCCTGCAGATAAGCAGAAAGCTGATATGATACGGTATGACATGCTATGGAAATACCAGAATAACACACCCAGAGCATCAGAAACAGAAAGTGCATTGTAAATACATAACTAAAGAGGACAGGGTAGCAAATTCAATGAACGTTTATGAACAGGTCTTTCTCTGCAGTTTACTTTCTGTTCCTACCCTAGAAACCAATAGCAGTGTTAAAGGTAAACCCCTCAACGTCTCTATCCCAATTAATCCAACAGCCTGAGGCAAAGCTCTTAGGGCTCTGCAGCCTTCCAACAGTCTCCTTCGACAGCAAACCCAAGAGCTTTCTGCACAGTTTGTAGAAACTCGCAACCAAATGCTTTATCCTGACTACTTATTAATGACTATTATTCACTTTATCAAAGTTTTATTATCATGACAAACATGCAAACCACTTGAACCATTGCTCCAAACGCTGTTCATAAGTGAGGCTTCCTTCTCTGAGGTTCTCCTTTGTTATTCTGTATAACCCCACTGCATTTCCTTATACAAGTCTTCGGTCAATTCTAGAACCATAGCATGGCCAGTAAGGCTACAGAGTGATTCTTCTAAGGAGATAATGCAAAGTGTCACTTAGCATTGGAAATGGAAGGGGTTTATTCTTAGTTATGTTAGCCAGAATCAGAAAAGATATTTGCTACTTCTGCTATTAAAGAGGAGCCCTTAACTTTTTGAGAATCCTTAGTCATGCCCTTCTGTTACTGCACATTCCTCCTAAATTCATATTTACAACACTTTAACAACTTCTTTGTTTTCTGAAAGCAGAAATCGCTCTGAAATGCTTTTGTTTGATTAGTACTTTCCAGATGCATTAAACTGCTATTACATAAGGGGATTTGTACTTTATACTCAAGTTTTCAGGAGAGAGATATTTAAAAGATTGTGAAATATGGTTATGGGGAGAAAAAAAAAGAATGTTGGAACATATCCATCAATATTTCAGTATAAATTGTAGAAGCACCAGAATTACATGGTGCAATTATCTTGCAGAATGTATAGCTCCTAGCACTGATCTTTC